TTTGATGACCACCATGGGCCGAGTAAAAACCGAGGGCGGAGGAGGACGGCGGAGGAGGACGGCGGAGGCGGCGGCGCGCCCCAGCCCCCGGAGTCCGGAGCAGGGAGAAAACTAAATTGGCGGTGGCAGAGCCGGCCGCGCAGCGGCGGGTTCAATGTCTTCTGGTTTTATGGTTATTTTGTTTAAATTTTTGATGGGAAAAAAAAAGATTAAACAAAAAAAACTTTGTCCGACCTACCGACCCTATGCTGAAATTTATTGTTACCGGAAACACACTATCTTTTTTTTTGGCCTAATCTTGGCATAGACGATTCGATGTTGCGAAGGTGGAGGCTCCGGCAAGAAGAACTGAGCCAGTGTAAAAAGACAACCAAAGCTTTTAAAGGTTTTAAAGGTGGGCCGTCGTGGTGTTATAGATTCATGAAATGGAAGCCTGTCTATTAGGGCAAGCACGACATTGTGTCAGCAGCTCCCTCCCAATTACGAGGACAAACTTGCTTCGTTCTGCACATTCACACAAACAAAGATAGCAGAGAATTCCATCAGCCCAGATGAAATAATAAATATGGACGAAGACCCTCTGACATTTGATTTGCCTCTCACTCGGACTGTAAATAAAAAAAGGTGATTTCCCCCGTCATACTGAAAACAAGCGGCCACGAGAGAACACATTTTACCTGTATTTTGAGCCGCGCAGCATCGGGCCTAAAGCTGCCAACGATGATCATTTTTAAGCGGCTGACGAAGAAATAATGTCATATATCTTTTCCCATTTATATGATTTGCATTATTCTATTTAAAGCCTAGTGTGCTGCAGTGTTTCTCCTCGTAATTACGCAAATGCGCATCAAGATCTCTCTTTCTCTGGCCTCTGATTATGTGTTTCAGCGTAATTTCGTTGTGCAAATGCATTTATCATGCTCATAAAAATATGGAGATTATTCTCAATCTAAGAAATATTGCGTTTTTTTTCTGCGGGGGTTCAGCGGGGGACCGCGTCACCGGCCTCACCCGGCGGCAGGAACGCAGAAGCAAACCCCCGCCTACTCATTGGCCAGCGGTTTATAGTACGGTGCGGCGCATATAATTACAAAATTGATTTTTCTTCATAAATCTGAGCATGCGGCTCTTAATCAGGTGCGGTCTGTAGCCCGGAATTTACGGTATTATATATATATATATATATATATATATATAAAACTATTTTAAAAGTGAATTCAACAAAATGTCAGTATAATAAGCCTCTGAATGTATTCTTTAAAGTAATTTTGTGATAATACTCACCATTAATGTGAATGGTTTTCCATTCCTCACGATTGCTAAAAATCCAGCAAAACTAGCGGAATTATAGTCAGTCACCTTGCCGGGTCCATACGCGGAGTTTCTGCCGGCTAGCTTGCACCCTGCTCAGTAGCTTGCACGCTTCCTTTCCGCTGTCTCTCGCAGGGTATTTTGATGCGAATGTCACATGGCGCGTGTCAAAGTGCATTCGACTGTTTCATTGGTGGTATTTTGTCATTGTAAATTAGAGACACCGCAGAACTAGTTCTCCCCACAAAGGTGAATCCTTCGGTCCATTCGTGCTGAAGTCTACCATACTCGTCATTTTTTTTCTTTTCGCCATCTTATTCGTTTAGGATTAGTTTTGATCTAACGTCCGAGCAGGCTGATTCAAAAGGCGGCGTTCACCTGTTTCCGCAGCAACGGCTAACGTAGGCCAGTATTATCCAATCAAAATTGCTCCTGGAGCCAACTGCAGCCCTGAACAAGAAATGATCAGTGAAAAAATCAATGGCTGGATTAAACAAGCGAGAATATTTTGTTTTATCTGCAAGCCAGATGCAATCATCAAAAGAGCCACATGTGGCTTGCGAGCCATAGGTTCCCGACCCCTGTTCTGGAGCCTTGAATTTTCAAAAGACTAAAATCACTTTAAGAGGTATATATCAATCAGTTTACAAACAATGTGGTTTGGTTAGTTTTCATTTCAATATCGGGCCACACCCAGGTCTAATTACCACCACATTTGATGAATCTTACACTCACTTAAATAGTATATGTCAGTGGAGTAGATAACAAGATAAAAAAAAAAAAAAGAAGCACACCGCGCCATGTTTAAAAGAATTTCAAGAATTACAAAGCAAAATTATGGACATCAACTTGGAAGAGGTTACAAAGCCCTTTCAGGGTGCCTACACAAGTACATTATGGAAAAGTAAGAAATTTGATTTCAGAAATTTCAATATGCTCTGGCATGAAAGAGACCAATATCCAAGAATAATACGATGTAATTCATTCATGCACTGTGTTGGCTTTTTGTAAGTTAATATGATTTAATTCACTTGTTTTAGGTGTGGATGGATGAAGATGCTGAGCTCTACGATTTTGCCAAAGTCAGACCACTTTTCAAGAAGAAGCAATTGAAGGTAACCACTTACCTTAACTTTAAATGAAAGACGACTTGATGCATTGTTTTCACAATTTAAAATTGTTGCAGTTGTCTTATTCTTTTGTACCCCCAAAAAAATCAGGATCAAGAGTTATAGCGTACTTTCTGAACCTGTAAACTAATTTTTGGCTTTGTTGTTGCTGTTCTCAAGCAATTTTAGGGGCGGGCTGTTTAATGCAAGAAATAGTGCCTTCCCGTTACCCTGGTTCCACACCGAAATGGCCTTATTTGCGCCCTTGAGTGGTCGCTTTTACATGAGTCTTTTTTGGGGCAGAGCAGTTACAATGGAACCACGTTTCAGAACCAACTCGGAGGTGGTGCTAAAATGCCGGGCGTTGGAGGCTTAATGGGGCCGTGTTGTGTATTTATGTATTCTTGTTGGGGGATCACCATTCACTTCCACCGCTGTGATTTCTATTATTTCTGTATAAATATGTAAAATTATTCCCAAAAAGATCTCTAAGAAATGAAACTTTACAATAAAAGCAGTAACCTTGCACTATTAGTGCCCACACCAAATCGAAAAAAACCTCAACAGTAATAAATACCAATTTAGAAATTGAAACACTCTTCAAATATAATAAATTAAAGTTTTTTAACATCCTCTAGTTTTTGTGGAAGTCCATCCCAAAGATGAAATGACCTAAGTAGGACCAACTTCTGTAAAAAGTTAGTTCTGGGCCGATTAATCGATAAATCGAGACAAAATGCATGTTGAATAGAATAACTTGGAATAGAATAAAAGTCTGACTTACATATCTAAAATGTTGTCATCCCTTGGCATCCCCCATGATTTTCAAATCGAAGTTGGTATAACGGTCAGTATTACTTTCTTTTAAATTATTAAATAGTCACACTGGGCAAAAAAATCGAAATTTTAATCATGATTTCGATTTTGGCTTCTCTTGATCTTTCAACCTTTATAATGAAGACAATGGCCAGAAGTTCCCTATTACCAGTGTCATAACTATGTTCAGCTGGGTTGAGGCGGTGTGAGAAGGCGGCGCTGGGATGCAGCCTCCAGTCGAGTGGTCATCGCTGGGACAAGACAACCTCCACTCCTGGATCCGATGCGTCTACCTCTACGACAAAGTGATAGTCAGGATTAGGGGGGGTGTCAATACTGGTGAGCTAGCCAACATATGCTTTGGAGAAATAAAGGTAGCGTCAGCTTCTGGGGTCCATAAAAATGGAATTTCTGCTGATGTAAGCCTTGTCACAGGTTCTACCTTGCAACTAAAATTGCTTATAAATCGCCTGTAAATGTTGGCAAAACCCAAAAATCTCTGCAACTGCTTCCTTGTTGGCGTTAGCCACTGGACCACAGCCTTGATCTTGGCTGGAATGGCTCTAAATTGACCTCTCTCCACAACGAACCCCAGGAGTTGTACAGAACTGGAGTGGAATTTGCATTCTTGTGCTTTTACATCCAACCAGTTCTCCAACAGGCGTTGCTGGACTAAGCGAACATGTCAGACATTCTCAATGAGATCTCTGGAAAAATTTAAAATATCGTCAATGCAACCAAAACAGAATTTGTTTGTCATGGCTCAAAGCACATCATTAATAAGAAATTGAAAAACGGCAGGGGCATTCATGAGACCAAATGGCATCACTAGATATTCAAAATGTCTTAAAGGGGTCTTAAAAAGCCGTCTTCCACTCATTTCCCTCTGTTATCCAGATTTCATTCTCGGCATTACAGAGGTCGAACTTAGCAAGGATGGTAGCAGATTGAAGCGAATTAAACGCAGAATCCATAAGTGGAAATGGTTCTTTGTTCTGAATAGTAATTCATTGAGACCACGGTAGCCAGCACAAGGATGGAGACAAAAACTGGACGAATTAGACCTGCAGCAAGTGACGAGTTAATGTATTCTTTCAGAGCCTCTTGTTCAGGTTTGGATACATGGTAAAGTGTGGAACTTGGCAATGTGATCAATAGCGCATTCGTAGGGACGGTGTGGCGGGAGTGATTGTGTCCTCTCCTTACTAAAAAAAACTTACACAAATCATGACATTCTGGTAGAATGTTACTTAACTTGACCTGCTCGACTTCTCCCTCAACAGAGGAGGGTGAATGGGTGCTCGCAGATCGAAGAGAGTGGGAATGTGTCAGAGTTATCAATTAGACGTTCATAATAAAGACCCAATGAGGAGAGGAGACACTCGATACTGGTACCGGGGGAACGGAGAGAAGCGTTAGGTTTCAATTCTCTGCACGTCACCCACGGATCTCCCCTCTCGCCCTCTAATTTATTTCTCATTGTGTGCACTCATGACAAAAACACCAAGTTGCAGCGGGTGTTGACAGCTCCATCCACGTCCGACCTTGCTCTTGTTTTGTCTTATTACCATATCTCATTCCAACCACATTCTCAGAAAGGTGGTTGTGTCCCCTTACTGTCGCACAATGCATGAAGCATTCTTCATTGCAAGCATTATCAAGTCATCACAATTAATATTCAAATGTATCATAAATAAAACTAAAAGACATAATTATTTATTCAGAATGACAAAAACCCCCTCCACTTCTCATTTGCAGGTTTGTCCCAGTTAATGTCGGGATTATGAAGTTTTAAGATTAACATCGGATCAGACTGCGTTACATTTTTAAAAACTAGAGATTTTATCTAATTGTATTGAAACTGTGAGTGTTTCATCCTAAGATGTTCAGAGCAACAAAGAAAAGCAAGGCTTTTTTTTTTGCCATGGGGACATGTCGTTTGAGAAGATCAATGACGCCTATTCTGATGTTTTTAACATTTGTGCATACATGAAACATGGCACACACACACCAGGCCAAATAAAAACCATTTTATGAGTTCATTTTGCAGTTAAAAAGAAAAATGACTTAGTTGAGCCTTCTACAAATTTTTAATGAAACGGCTTGGATTGAACATTTCAACAACTTCGGCCAAAAGTTGGAGGCACATGAAACAGCCTAAGACCAACAAAAAGTCCCTGGGGCCCTATTCAAAACTCAAAAATTGTGCCTAATTTTTGTCCTTTTATCGAGGTTATAATCTGATGTGCTTCATTCAATAAATTCCAATTACAATGTGCCAGTATCCCACTTCACCTTTCCCCATGACATGGCATAAAATGCAATCCCTGCGATCCCAGGTCAGCCCAATCCTTCGTGTGCAAAGACGCAAGGCATCAAAGATGTGGATGTAGCAGAATGAAAATGGAAGAGTCTTGTAATTTCACATACAAGGGCATTTTGTATTTGACAAAAATAATAACACTGTTCAAGAATTAATGTCTTTAATGTGCAGGGATGAATGGGCATGAGGCTCTGATGATGGTTTGGACAGGTTGAGTATTGAAGTAAATGAATAATCATTTAAATAATCGTGATTTCAATCTCAATCAACATAATCGTCTGTATTATTTTCTCCATAATCATCCAGCCTATATATGCCTATATATATCATTGGCATTCTCAAGACCCACTAGCTTAAACAAAATTTATACAGTATATATATATATATATATATGTATATATATTTTTTTTTTTTGTATTTCTCTCTAGGTACCAGCTGGTGTTGCAGGATACAAGCCTGAGACTTTCACCAAGTTCCTTGCCCTTTACCTCCATGGCGCTGTGTAGCAATAAAGACTTCCATTCATCGTTGTGATACAACTGTGAATCAAACTTTCTGTGTTCAGGGAAATTATTTCCTGAGATTCCCTCACCGTGAACGGTCTGAATTCATTTTCCAGGTTAATCATAGTGTAAAGAATAAACGTACAAATGATTCCCTGTAAAAAGGTGTCAACCCATTAAGTATCAAAATAATGCCATACTGTATCCTGTACCCTGCCATATTTTAGACCGCTTTACATAATACCTGTGACATGACGTGCTGTAAACTAGACTTTTTTTATGGTCTAATTGGGCTATAAAGATGCCAAGGATGCCATATAGTATAGGCATTTGATAAAACATCGATATAAATATAATATTGATTGTCTGAAATTTATGGAACGAAACTCGCAATAATTTGGATGATAGTAATGTGGGAAATGTTGCCTAATTCCAGTTTTAACATTGGCCCTGGTTTGGTACCCACCAGTTCTTTTATTTTCAATGGCCTCAAAAATAAGTCGAATCCCTAGAAAATTGCTTGGGCAGAGTTAGGCTGTGCAATTAGTGCAAATTTAATTGAGATTTCGATTCTGAGTCCTCTTGATCTTAAACATGTTAATTGAAGAAAAATTATTGCCAAACGGCATGGTGTTTTCATAAGCTTCCGAGTTGTGAAAGTACTCGGAATAAACCATGTTACTTGCAGAGCAAGCATGTCAGCTTATGCGATTCTACCCGCCCAAAGCCTGCTTTAAAATGTTTCATGATACCACATTTGGCGTTTACTGTAAGACTACAGATACAAAAAGAATTAGATGTAAATTTAAATAGAAGACATGATTCATTTTAAAAACATCGCTAGTGATAAAACTGAAGTCAATGTAAAATCTCAATGACATGCGAACAAGAAATCAGCATTGACTTTGAGAATGATATTCATTGAAATAAAGAATGGACTTTCCTGAAAATTCCGGAAAAAAAATCAAAATAAATAAAAATTATATAAGAGCTGTCAGTTTAGCACGTTTTTATTGGCATTAATTTAAATGAATTTTAACGGGATTACATTTTTTCTCGTGAGATTAACGCGGCACACGTCACAGCGGATGTTACGTTGCTCTATAAATAAACCAGAAACAAAACAAGTGCACTGAATAGGTCCACGCACGTTTGTTTTGCCAGCCACGACAGCGCGAGACACCGAAAACGGATACTTAAAGAGTTTATGAATGGAAAGTTTACTGTTAAAAAGTTGCCAGATTGCTCCACTGACAAGACCAAAGTTACCTGTATGTTTTGCAGTCATAAACTGAGTTATCATCATTGCACGTCGAGTCTGAAATACCACTTAATGGCCAAGCACACAGCTGATGTGAGTACTCCACCCCCTCGTCCCAGACAGACAGCTATAGATGATTTCAAAGCTAAGAAAATGGATGACCCGACGAAGAACAAATTTGCTGAAGCCATAGCTAAATGTATGGATGCTGCATGCAAGCCTGTCAACATTGTCCACAGCTCGACTCAAGCTGAAATCATTCGCGTTGCATCTAATGACTCCACTACAGATTGCCAGCGAGAGCCTCCATTACAAGCTGTGTAGAGATTGTAAGTAGCGGAGAAGGCTAAGGTAGACCAAGCGGGAGAAGACACTGTTTCGGGAGAGAAATAAGAGACGAGGTTGATTAGCCTCTGGTGAATAAGAGCAGGCAGCCTGTCGAATAGGATGTATGCCACTGACGCGATTGTTACTTGTTTGGAACTATTTTGTGTGGAAGGTTACAGTGTTCCGTGTCCATATAAATAAAGCGGGTGAAGCTTCTCTGTGTTCGTCTGACAGTGACGGTGCACAGAGGCTGTGACATGACAATGAAAGTTCAGCGGTGCAGTGGTAGCGACCTAGCAAAAATAAAACATCTCCAGTGTTGTCATCGAACCAAGTGTAGTCATCCGAAATGATGTCTACACAAAACCGTAGAGAGACTTCCGCGCAAGAAGGACCAACAGAATCAACATAGCCTGACTGCTGTGTTCAAAGCAAACTTGAGAAAAACGAAGTATGCAACCATGGCTTAAATCCACTATAGGCTGAGTACTAGTTTACCTTAGATGTGCACTTTATAATGTTATATTGCTCTCTTTTGATTCCATAAAAAGAGCTGTTAAAGCAGCTGTTGTGTGACAAAATATTTTTTGTGTGAGAGATTATGTGTGAATAACTGCTCCAAGTGAAAAATGTTCATGTAAAATTGAAAATCGAAATTGTTATTTCAGTAAATATTTGCATTTTGCACATAGAAAACTGATTCATGATTCCACGTTGATGAAAGCATTAAAATGGGAAAAATAGGACAAAAGATTATAAAAGGAAATTCAGAAACGATCAAAAATGCGTGAGTAATCAATATATATATATATATATATATATATATAGCATGTTTAGCGGATCCCGGCTCTGGCCTTCCTGTGTGGAGTTTGCATGTTCTCAACGTGGGTTTTCTCCGGGTACTCCGTTATCCTCCCACATTCCAAAAACATGCGTGGCAGGCTGATTATACACTCTAACTTGTCCCTAGGTGTGGGTGTGAGCGTGAATGGTTGTTCGTCTCGGTGTGCCCTGCGATTGGCTGGCATCGATCAGGGTGCTCAGGGTGTCCCCCGCCTACTGCCCGAAGACGGCTGGGATAGTCTCCAGCGACCCTTGTGAGGATCAGCAGATCGGAACGTGGATGGATGGATGGCACGAAATGATAGGGTTATTGCAAACATGTTTTGTCATTAAATGAGTTATGAATGTGCTGAAGTATCCACTTCCAGCCCAGAACCTCTAACCATCAATCTTCTCTTTGTAGTTTCAGAACACAAACATTGACGCTAAGTACACACACGCGTGTGTGTGTGTGAGTGTGTGTGTGTGTGTGTGTGTGTGTGTGTATTTAGCGTCAAGCCATGCATCCATCCAGCTGCAGACTGTCCAACAGCACCGACCTTTCCACTGAACAAAGCAGGGCTGTGAAAATGCTGCCCATTACATGCGCAAAAGACAAGCGCCCCGGGCCTGTCCAGCAACGACAGTCAAATGCCGCCGACATTCCTCCCAATCAAAATCAGTGCTGGTACACGCGTGCTGCCGAGAAGGCGCACCCACCAAGCACAGATTCTTCTCTTGATGAATGCTGTGGCCAAAAATGCTGAAAACAATCCAAATCAGACCCACACAATGTAACAACAACACCGTGTGACAAAACAAAAGACAAAAACAACAAAAACCGCATGGCTCCTGAAGAGCACTTGCTGACGGCTGCCTACTCGGCCGCCATCTTGGAAAAAAAAGTAGTTAGAAAAAGAAGTAATATTACTTATTTATTCTTTAAGTTGTCTGCTCCCATAGAAGTGGAAGCAGATAAAATATTTTGGTCTTGGGCACCAATTTTTGGGATACTGCAATAACTTTAACATCAGCTGTAGTGGACAAAGTACAGTAAAATCTTTCAACCACAGAGGCAGTATCAAGGAAGTGTTTTCTTTACCAATCCAGCACGAATCTCCGACTCCTCTGGACAGCCGCTTAAATTGATTCCTCTTCTCAAAGAAAATAGACAACATATTCTCCCAGCCAGGTGTGTAAATGCTTTTGCTCAACAAAAATGCATTCTCTTGACAGTACCGAGGATTATAATAATTTCCCAAAAGTTCTCAAGTGATATATTTGAAGCAGTGCCGAAAATATATCAATCAGCAACCATTTTGGATAAGATTTTGTCAGGTCGATCAAAAACATGAATGGTAAATACAGCATGGATAAAATCAAGCACAGGTTCCAAACAGTAGGATGACCTATTCATTGGCAATTATCAATGTGTCTGAATTAAGTCACTCAAAGATTCCAAAGTAGGTCACCCAAAGATTCCAAAGTGGTTCAAGAATGTTACATGTCATGGATGAACCAGCTTTGCATTCCAGTACCAGTTGCATCGTAATGTGTTCTATCACTGGTGGGGTTAACAAAAGTCCTCAAACAAAAGTGTATTCACGGAAAGAAAAAAATAGTGTGCTTTTATGATTAAAAAAAATAATTTAAGCAGTGACAAGACAATAGCAATATAAAGACACTTTATACTACTAATATTGTAGCTAATTGTCAGGTTGTTTTTTATTTTTATTTTTTAATAAATGCCACTTGGCGGGGCAGATATAATTGGCACCGATCTGTCACACATGATTCCATAAAAATATTGCTCCGTCTACAGATATTTAACAGAGCACTATCCCTATATGTTTGACGTATGGTTACGGAAATGAGTTAACAATTTTTTGTGTGTACAAGTTTTGAATGTGTATATATATATATATATATATATATATATATATATATATATTTTAACATTTACAGGGGTCATGTGTGACCTTGACCTATCGGTTTCATCCAATTCACTTCAAACATGGCCTCCACCATCTCAAGACCTGGGATAATAACAGGTTTCACCATATTATATAACTCTTTCATATTCCTTAGCTTTAAAAAAGAAAATGCTTAAAAACTCCTACGTTGGCTCACCAAACTTAAATGAATATCTAATGTAATCTATCTGTAGTGTTTTGTCATACATATAGTGTCATCTCACGGCAACACCAAAGGTCATCTATTACATTTTAATGTACTGAAAAGCATCAAAACATTGATCATGCTTTATGCCTAATATTGTGACTTTTTGCTCGAGGGCGTGGCAATGACAGTGGCAAAATTTTACTGAGAAAACACTGTGGAGTAAAGTCAAGATGTTCTAAGGCAGGGGTCCCCAACCGCCCGTCCGCGGACCGGTACCGGTCCGCCGGGCATTTGGTACCGGGCCGCACAGAAAGAACTTGCCTTAATTCCCTTTTATTTATTTCGGAATACGAATGATATTTTATTTTGAAAAACTACCGGATTCTCCGTTACATCCGTCTGTGTCACGCTTGACACACGTGAAGCCGCTTCTCCATCACGTGACCGATTACAGTACTTCAAAACAAAACGCAGGAGCTCGCAAAATGAGTTAAAAAAAACTGCTGGAGATCGCAAATGACAGCGACCTTAAAAGTACGTTCGAGACAACTGGATTAAAGTTATGGCTGAATACTCTGAGATCGCCACAATAGCACTGTTGCTATTTCCGACATCCTACCTGTGTGAGGAGGGGGTGTTGCAGAAAATCAAGCTCGGGGCTGTGGTGAGTGGTCATTTTCATGCACTTTGAATTTGCGTTGTATCGTATTTTGAAGGCATTAAACATTGCCATAGCGATTGGAGTGTTGCGGCCAGATTAGACGCTCCTTGTGTTTATTATTATATTTCGAAAACACCACAGTTTTCATGCAGCTCATACCATATTATTTTGTTGTATTATTTCCGCCACACCTTAAATGCCGGTCCCTGAAAATATTGTCTGACATAAACCGGTCCGTGGGGCAAAAAAGGTTGGGGGCCCCTGTTCTAAGGAACATAGAATAGAAAGAGTAAAACAATTTAAGCATTTAGGGGTTATGGTCAGATTAAAGATTAACGTGGACAACACATGTCCAGAAGGTAAAATAAGATAAGAAAACTTTTATTAGTCTCGCAATGGAGAAATTCCCAATTCACAGATAAATGTATATGAATAAAAAAAGATCTATAAATTTATATAATAGATAAATGTAAAAATAATAAATAAAAAGTGAATGGGAGATATTTGGCCGCGATTGGGAGGGGTGGGGCAGATAGAGAGGCATTAAAATGTATTGTGGAACAATTAGATCAAATATGGATGATGAACGTGTGGTGCCAGCAGCAAAAACGATTCTAAAAGAGTTGCATTTTGTACTAAATCCGGCGTTAAGGACAACAACTCCGCAAAGGATCCTTAGGTTTAGAAATGGAAAATATATTCCATTAGAAATTTGCAGGAAACAAATGTCAGTTAATTACTGTATTGGACTAGTGCACAAGGAAAACGTTTTGAAAACCTGTTGGAAGAACGAAGCGAGAAGTCGTAAAGGACCTGGAGTTAGAGCAATTTAGTATTATTCCGACATTTCCAACACCGTGGTTACTTCCAGAGACAGCGGTAACCACAGAGAGTGGAAAATCAAGAGGGTCAAATCTGGTTCACACTCCATACCAGTAGGCGACGGTAATGCACATAACCGTTTCTTGTCATAAGAAGAAGAAGCAGCAAGAAAACAAAGAAGGATACAGAAAAAAAATCAACTTCATTCTTCGAATTTATTCAAGCGTCACAAACGACTCAGTGTAGGACTTCGATTACGAGTAACAACCGGTAAGATATCGAAAAATCACGTTTTCGTCGTTGTCACGTCTTTGAAAATTACGTAGAACGTCATTGCGCTGACTCAACGACCAGTGATCTAGACCTTATGTTTAACAACTTGTTAAAGTAACAATGATTCGGAAGTACAGTCAGTACACTTGGATTTACTGTGGTCATTTGCTATTGTATGCCTTTGCATGTCATATACCAAGGACGGGAAATTTTATATGCTTGGGTTGGAGGATTTTTTTTAAATCATCAACGTTACGGGGGGCGGCACATAGGACCATGCACTTCCTAACCAGATGTATGACAAAAATACCATTTTATGCAGGCAGTGGTTGTTTGGCCGTGACAGGCTCTGATGGTCAATAACCGCAACGAGGAACTCTTAGCTTGTAGGGAATTGGCTATTCTGATGACAGTAGTTGGCCGCAAATACGTTATTTTAGAGCAAACTAATTTTTGTTGCCGATCACAGTCTATTTCCCGTTCCACTTGGAGAGCCGTCATGACTGTGAAAACATATAGAGAAGTCAAAAATAATGTTATATTCAACGATTGTTTTAAGTTACTGTAATGAGGGGGTTGGTAACAAGAAAATGCTTACAATATATATATATATGGGATGCTCCCTGGACACTCTGGAGGAGGTGGGCAACAGGAGGATGCTCGCTAAACTAAAAGCGATGATGGACAGTCCCTCCCACCCCTTCCAGCCAGCCCTGACAGCACTGGGTAGCTCCTTCAGCCAGAGACTGTTACACCCGCGCTGCAAGAAGGATACCGCCGCTCATCCCTACCAACTGCTGTCAGGCAGCTGAATAAACATAGTGTACGTGAAAACCTGTAACCATTGAAAATAGCACAGCCGCCTTATGCTGTGTTTTCTATGCTATTGCTAATTTATTATATTTATTCTACAAATATATTGCTAATGCTATATTTTATATTGCACTTATATTGAACTGTGTACAGTTCTTTTCTGAAACATTTATTTTGTGCAATGAAACACTTTGTTAACCCCCCCACCCACCCCAATTTTGCTGCTGTCGACTGCAAATTTCCCCAGTGTGGGACAAATAAAGGTTATCTTATCTTAATATACATAATGTATATACTGTATATTAGGGTGGTCCATTTTGGAAAAGTTTGTCGGATTCGTCGGGCCGGGTCGGAAATCTTGTCGATACTATGACACAAGGATGTGTGCAAAATTTTATTCCGATCGGATAATTTTATCCCGTCCCGCAGAGCGACCAAAGTTTCCCCTATGGAAAGAATGTTACGGGGCTGAATGGTAGTACGGTTTCTCCCGTACAGTAAGGATTTTGTTTTGCTCAGTTCACACTTGCAATAATTCAAAGACGGAAGACAGGAACGCATGTATTGCAAAAAAGGCAACCGTGGTGATCCTGCAACACTGGTGAGATTGTTGGTCCATGTTAACTGGTCCATCTATCTATCTGTCCATCTGTCTATAATGGCCATCAACACTAGTGACACTGTTAGACCGCAAAAAAAAACGAAATCCGCCGTGCGTGCCATCCCATGCCTACTTCGCGCACGGGTGCAACGCCCGGTGTCGCTCCACGACCTGCAGAAGGTGCTGTCGCTGTTCCTCGTCGCGCGTAAAGGCGCCGCAGAACGCGCTGATGAGGGCGACGCCCCTCTCCGCAAA